AAGCCTCTAATCTTCGGAATTCATTCACATTATTAGAGAGACATACACGCGTATTTAGTACTGACTGTGCCTGCTGCACATTTGACGATAATAATTAGCTGACGTAGATTGAGAGTTGTCTGTGTGCTGGTTTCATTCTGCATTGCAGTATGTGCATTACCACAGTTAATCTTCATAGTAACTCCAGGAGGTGAGAATTGTTATAACCGTTTCAGAGGTGAAAACTGAGACTCGGAGTGGCTAAGGAGTTTGCCCAGGGCCACATAAAGCTGGGCAGTAGAAAGGGACTGGATGCAGCTCCCTTTGACATTGTGGTTGGTGGACCTGACCATCCTTGCCCCTGGGGCTCCCGTCTGGGATGGGAGACGGCAGGCCTGGTCAGCAGGACGGGCTGCCTGCAGGAGAAAGAACCTGTGCTGTGTTGCCTAGTGTCCTAAGGTTCCTTGTTTGTCTTTATAAAATTATCATTGTGGTGTTTTGTTGTTTTTCCTGTAAAGGCCCCAGTGTTTGCCAAGGAGAGGCAGGGGTCATTGCATTTGAAACAGGACAAAGCCCTTCAAGCTGAGGTGATCCCAGCTTCTCATTTTGAAAGTGCATTTTTGCTGAATTTTGGGTGGCTGCCAGGGACAGAGGGCTTGAAGGGGTTGTGCCTCTTGCCCCTTCTCCCGCCCCTGTCCTAGCCACGTGATTTTCCATTTGTTCTTTGAACATTACTTTAGAATGCGGGAGCCCTTCCCTCCTGCCTAAATGACATTCAAGAGTGGAACACACTCCCTGGATTTTATTTGATTTTCCAGCAAAGGAAGTGACATTCCAGTCAAGCTGTTGGGCTTCATGATCGCTGTTCCAAGTCAGACTTGAAGGTCTGGGGATGGCGACCACTGGCTGGTGTGAACCCTGAGGAATGTCTGCAGGGTCTTAACAGCTGTGCTCCACCCTTCCTTTTCAACCCCAGCCTTGTGAGCACCAGGCATTGGGGTTAGATCCTGTGATATGTGCAGTTACTTCCTGCAGCCCTCACCTTGACCTTGTGGCCTTGAGGTTCCTGGCACTCCCAGTTCCAGATTAGACTGAGACCCACAGGCTGCAACTGCCCAGTGCCACACAGCTGGGCAGTGTCAGGCAAGGGCCAGCCAAGGACCCCCAGGTCTAGAGCGTCTCTTCTACTTATTCTTGCTCAATGCTTTGGTCAGCACACATTTGTGGAGCTCCTGCTGTAAACCTAGTGTTGTCACTGGGGAGAGGTAGGAAAACGAAGATCAGCCAGGTCTTTGGTAATGTCAGTATACTTAGAAAGGGGAAACTGGCTTGGGGGTGATAGAAGAGGGATAGTTGGGAGCCAGGCATACCCTGGGTGTAGACTGGGGAGCTCTGTGTTTTTAGAAGAGGTGAATGGAAGGCCCTCCTTGCTGAGGACTTGGTGAATGTTTGGAGCAGGGTAAGCTAGCAGTAGCTGGGTCTTTATTCAGCACTCCTTTGCTGTGCCTCTTGTGCATGGACCTCTGAAAATGAGGAATTGGATCTAGTCCCAGGCCCTGCATTTCAGGGATCAGGCCCAGGAGGGAAGAGGAGACAGGAACTGAGTTTCTCTCAGGGGGGATGTCCCTGAGGCCTGCATTCAGAGGGGAGTCCAACAGTGCCACTCTGCCCCCAGGGAAGTGGGGTTTTGCTGACCTTGTTAACTACTATCAGCTCCTGGCTTCACCGGCTTTACTCCTCCCCAGATCTCCGGATGGACCCAGGCCCTGCCAGACATGGTGGTGTCCCATCTCTTTGGGAAGGTGAGTTGTGTGGTGTGGCATTCTGTGGTTCCTGCTGAGCACTGAATTATGTGGTGCTCAGTACAGGGCCCCGTGTGGGGGTGGAGACAGCAAGACACAATCAGTGGGGCCACCGAGCTGGTGCTCATGAGATACGTGATGTTATTCATTCATAAGCAACAGGTATTCATTGTCTCTCTCTTTTTATATGTGTCTTTTAAAAACAGCTGTTTGAAGTACCATTAACTGCACAAATTTAAAGCACACAATTTGCTAAATTTGACATATGTGTACATTTGTAAAGCCATCACTGTAATCAGGAGAATAACGTCTCCGTCACCCCAAGAGTTTCCTTGCACCCCTTGATAACCCTCCTCCCCAGACAACTTCTGATCTGCTTCTGTCTCTCTAGGTGGCTTTGCAATTCCTAGATTTTTATGTAAATGGCATTATACAGTATGCACTCTTTCATTTATTTATTTATTTTTGGTCTGGCTTCTTTCACTCAGCGTAACTATTCTGAGATCGGTCCGTGTTGGTGGGTGGATCGATAGTTTTTTCCTAGGCTGGGTGCAGTGCTCGCACCTGTAATCCCAGCACTTGGGGAGGCCATGGCAGGAGGACGAGTTGAGCTTGGGAGTTCAAGACCAGCCTGAGCAACATAGTGACACCCTGTCTCTTCAAAAAAAGTAAAAATTAGCTAGGCATGGCGGTGCATGCCTATAGTCCTAGCTACTTGGGAGGCTGAGGGAGGAGGATCGCTTGAGCCCAGGAGTCTGAGGTTATAGTGAGCTGTGATTGCCCACTGCACCCTATATCTTAAAATCGGTGTATTCCTTTTTAGTGCTGAGAAGTATTCCATTTATGTATGTGCAACAGTCTGCTTTTCTCTTCATCTGTTGATAAGGCCTCTGGGCTGTTTCCAGTTTGGGGCTGTTATAAATCTGGTCTATGGCAAACATGTCTGTGGAGGTAGCCGTGCGCTGGGCTCCATCCTAAGAGCTTCACAAGTGTAAACTGTAGGGTTCCACCCAGGAGCTCTGTGACCCGTGTGATATATTCTGTTCTCATTCCCAGTGTGTGGAAGAGGAAACTGAGATCAGAGAGGTTGAGTGACTTGTGTAGGGTCTCACAGCCAGGGAGAGGTAGAGTCAGTGTTTGAACCTATGAATCTGGCTTCATTCTGGTAACCACAGCAGGAGGGCGGCTGCCTGTGCTGCTGCCCGGCTCTTAGATGAGCTGCTCCTCTGCAGAGTCACCCCACTGAGGGTGAGCGAGCCAAGTCGCTCAGCGTGCTAGAGTGAGTGGTCATCTTCTCATCAGCTCAGCCTGCCTGGCCCAGACTCTGGTTTGGTGTCTTCAGCTGGGGCCAGCTGCCCTCAGGAAGGACATGCCATGGGCTTGGCTGGAAGCTGAGGGTCTGGAAAACCCCTGGGTTGCCTGAAATTGCAGTGACCTGCTTTGCCTACTGTGAATGGTCCACATATCGCTGTCTCCTTGTAGCGAACATGTGTGACCATCTGACACCCACGCGAGTCCTGGGGAAACACAAAGGAGGGATCATGGAGAGCCAGGCATACCCTGGGTGTAGACTGGGGAGCTCTGTGTTTTTAGAAGAGGTGAATGGAAGGCCCTCCTTGCTGAGGACTTGGTGCATGTTTGGAGCAGGGTAAGCTAGCAGTAGCTGGGTCTTTATTCAGCACTCCTTTGCGGTGCCTCTTGTGCATGGACCTCTGAAACTAAGGAATTGGATCTGGTCCCAACTCCACTCTGGAGTTGCCAAGTACGCCAGGGAAACAGTCTCCACTCTGGAGTTGGCGAGCACAGCTGCTGGGTTTGCCTGTTGTATTGGTTTCCTGTGGCTTCTGGAACAAATTGCCAGAAGCAGGATGGCTTAGAACAATGCAGGTGGGCCGGGCGTGGTGGCTCACGCCTGTAATCCCAGCACTTTGGGAGGCCAAGGCGGATGGATCACCAGAGGTCAGGAGTTTGAGATGAGCCTGGCCAACATGGTAAAACCCCATCTCTACTAAAAATAAAAAATCAGCTGGGTGTGGTGGCACATGTCTGTAACCTCAGCTACTCGGGAGGCTGAGACAGGAGAATTGCTTGAACCTGGGAGATGGAGGCTGCATTGAGCCAAGATCACACCATTGCACTCCAGCCTGGGTGAGACAGAGGGATACTCCATCTTAAAACAACAGCAACAAGAAAAGAACAACAAAAATGTATTCTCCCACAGCTCTGAGTCTAGAACTCCGACATCAAGTGCTGGCAGGGCCGCCCCTCCTTCACAGGCTCTAGGGGAAAATCTTCCTGGCTTCTTACTGCTCTAGGTCACTGTCGGCATTCCTTGTCCAGTGGCTGCTCACGCCGCCCTCTGCCTCTGTCTTCACGTGATCTTCTCTGTGTGTGTTTCAGTTCTCCCTCGCCTTGCTCTTTTGAGGACACTTCCCACTGGATTTGGTCCCCACTCATGTCATCCAGGACGATCTCATATCAAGATCCTTAATTGATTACATCTGCAAAAACCCATTTCCCCAGCAAGTTTGCATTCTCAAGTTGAGGAGATTTGACATGGACACATCTTCTGAGGGCCACAGTTTAGCCCACGATAGCCCTCTTTCCTCTTTACGATTTAATCTTCAGCGTGTGATACATTTTCCCTGTCCTGAGTGTGGAATCTGAAACTGATGGGAATTGGGAAACACTTAGAGCCACTGTCTGTGTTTCCTTGGAGGAGGGGTCCCAGGCATAGTGTTGAGCATCTGACCTGACTGTACCTCACGTTATTTGGAGACTGATGGTCAGGCTGTGGTGTCTGAGGGTGCCCCGAGATGGCTACAGCCGGTGTTGACCTGACATCCCAGCGTGATTCCTGTTTTTTCCAGAGTTTATGTCTTAGTAGCCAGTTGGGCTCCTTGCTGCCTGAATGATCCTGGACTGTTTGATGCAGCCCAAGCTTGATGTCAGCTTTCTTTGACTTCCAACTCCAACCCCTCCTCTGGTTGCCACTGGTCACATCACACCCTTGTGTGAGACCTACAGTGCCTGCCCTTTTACAGATGAGAAACAGAGCAGACAAATCGTTTGTTTGTCACAAATGACATTCAAAAAGCATCCGAAGACGGGGAGGCTGAGGCTGACTTCCCCAAGGCTCGGGCTGGCCACGATGGGAGTCGCAGTTGCCCTTCTTTCCAGCAACTTCCTGTTATGTGAGATGGTTTCGGTTTTCAAGCAGGAAAAATTTCTTTTCAGCTCTTTCCATTGAAAAATAATTACTAGCATTTGCATCCAGTTTTTATTGTTTGCAGAGGTGAGAACACAACCTAGTGAAGTAGGCAACATTATCCCCCAACCACTGACTTTTTTTTTTTTTAAGAGATCTGAGACTCAGAGAGGTTAAAAGATTTGTCCAAGAAAAGGGCAGTGATGAAGCGAATTTCTAGATCCAGGAAGTCTGACTTCACATTGAAAATCCCTAAGTAATGTGTTCAGAAGGGCGGGCTGTGGCCTTCCAGGACTGGGGTCTTTTCTGCTCCCGGTGGATAGTGAAATCCCCGTTTGCACCTGGCTAGGCATGCTGCTTTCCCGAAGGTTTTTTAGGTCCATTGCTGTCTTGTGGATTAGGCATTATGATCTTTACTTTGTACCCAAATAACCTGGAGAATGGAGAGAGTAGTGACCAGCCAGCGGCACAGGACGATATTGACCGCCTTCTCCCCTCCCTAAATGCAGGAAGAAATGCAGAATAACGTGGAGGTGGTCCACACCTACCGTCAGCACATCGTGAATGACATGAACCCCGGCAACCTGCATCTGTTCATCAACGCCTACAACAGGTGTGGGATGCCGTGCAGTCACATCATTGCTATTTATTAGGTGTTTTCTGTCGATCTGAAATAGGGGCAAGTGAGAGGGAGAGTGTAAAATGAGTGGAAGATGCAGGCCCTACATCTGAGCAAAGAGATTCCTAGGACGGGTGCCCAGGAAGGACACCTGGCCTGTAAGCTGGGGTTCCTGGCATTTAGCTCATCTTGAAGGGATCTGAACAAACACTCCAGACCCCTGGGGCTGCAGAAGTGAGAGGGACGCGGTTGCACAGTCAGAGGGTTGAGAGTGAATGTGTGTGCTCACTGCTGACCTTCACGAAGAGCCAAATGTGGGAAGAGCCAAGTGAGGGAGCAGCAAAGCACTCCTGGAGGGCGGGATAATCCAGGCAGGCTTCTGGGAGTTTACCATCTCAAGGATAAGGAGGACCTGAACACAGCCTTTGGCTAAGGCGTGGCCCTCTTAGGGCCAGCACTAGGGGCTTATCTGGAGCTCAGCTAGGGGAGGAGACAGCTCAGGGCCACTGGTGTCAGCCAGAGAGTCTGGAGTCTTCCAGGGAGCTCACTCAGCCTGCTGAGCCAGCTCTGCCACGCTTCCAAAACAGGAGACAGAAATGAGCCCCATCGTGTTGATCTCTGCGCAAATGTTAATAATGTGACTTCCTGAAATTAACATTTGTAACAGAGCTTAGTAGCTGCCCCCTTCTGCTCTTCTGCCCTCATCTCAGTGGTCACATCCTCACTATGTGACTGAAGAAGCAGAAGCCTAGCAGTGCATTCACGTAGCAAACACTTCCTGAAAACTGGAGTGAGTCAGGCATTTGGCTGGGCGTTGGAGACACAGAGGGCACCAGCACAGCCCGCAGACTCCACACGCTAACTTGTCTGCACACATAGCACAGTCATTAATGGACCCCGCTCAGAATCCCGCTAGGAGGGTCCTGGTATTGTCATTTCCTGTTGAGGAGGCAAAGGCTCAGAGAGGCCCAGTGTTCTCCCCAAGGCCACACAGCTAGAAAGTGGCGGAGCGTGATTTGGACCCTGCGTGTCTAACTCCAGGCCGTGAGCTGGGAAAGAACGTCTCGTGTTGGGAGCTATAAGACCTCAGAGAGGGTGGGCGGCCGCCTGCAGGGCGGGTGGTCGCGCTGGACGGGGCCCGCGCTGGGCCTCACGCTAGTGCAGCGGGAAACCACTGCGAGATGGGAGCATGCAAAGACCAGCCTGAGTCTTAAGGAGATCATTGAACTCAGAGCTGGTGAGGCTGGGACTTAAAGTAAGAGGCTGCAAGAGCATTTGGAGATCTCTTCTTACATTTGGCCCTCTGTCAGGTGGGGGCTCTGACTAGGGGGACAGGGAAGGCAGGGACCTTCTATAGTGGAGGACCCGACTTCTAGTCCCGTTAAAAAAAAAGTCACAAAAAATATTTGTGACAAAATAAGGGGGACTCTGCTTGAAATGCGTGGGTCCTGCTGTCCCTCTAAACAGGTCTGTGGACACCAAAAGGGTGTGTCATCCTGAAAGCCACAGGGCCTCTGGCAGGGGAGGGATGTGGGTGGTTTGCCAGAATGGCCACTGGCGGGACCTCCCGGGCTTGGCTGGCCGGGAGTGGGGGCTTTCTCCAGAGGAGGGTGCTCCCGCTCATGCTAATAATGCGTTTCTTTCCTGCAGCCGGCGTGACCTGGAGATTGAGCGACCAATGCCGGGGACCCACACAGTCACCCTGCAGTGAGTGGCTTTTCCCTCCCTCAGCATTGCAGGCAGGGCTTCCCCCGTACATGCGGACTTGCTGGCAGGGTCTTCTTTCTGAGTGTGGCATGACCTTGCGCCAGTGAGACCTGGATGTATTCTACCCAGAGACTGAGCGTTACCCTGCCTGACTGGACTTATCCCCATGCCAGTGGCATCTGTCTCTAGGGTATCCCCATGACCTAGGCCTTTGATCTTGGAGGAGGATTGTTGATTGTACTTGGGTCAGCATTTATTAAGCACCTATTACATCAGTAGCTGTGTGAGGCTTTGCTTCATGAAACCTAGAGATGGATAGCACAGGACCCAGCCTTAAAGCGCTCTATAAGTCCAGGAGGAAAAGACAGTCACAGAAGGAACTAACTGGGATTCCCCCAGTAATGATAGTGTCCTTTTGTGGTTGAGTAAACTGCACTGTATGACACTTGGAAACCTGGCACATCATTGCCTTTGTCCTTCATGCTGTTCTTGTTTCTGTCTTGATTACCAGCAAAGTTCTGCTGACCCCTCCTTGAGAAGATGCTTTAAGAGAAAAGCACTGGGCACAGAAATTCCCTGGCTGAAATTCATACTAAGTTGTAAATGACTATTAACCAATTTTATCCCAAGATCAAAGGAGAATGAAGTAAAAGCTCAAAGGGTGTTAGGGAAACCAAAATGACATTGTTTTTAGAATGCAGGCCCCGGCCTGGCAGGCCTGGGAGCAGGACAGTATTTAAAGGAAACTTGCGCTAATTCTCTGCTCTGTCCCTCACCCCAGGTGCCCTTCTCTGTTGGTGGTGGGGGACAGCTCGCCTGCAGTGGATGCTGTGGTATGTCAAAATCACAGCTGGTTTCTGTGGTTAACTCAACAGGCTAAGTCTGGTTGACTTTGGTGAAGTGGTCCTGCCCTCTCCTCCTCTCCCCTGCCCTGTCAGGGCAAGTGATTTTTGAAATGCCATATTGGCCTTTGGGCAGAGGGCCTAGCCGAGTCTCTCCCTGGTGGTTGCCAGCCCTGGCTGCTTGTCAGTGTCTCCTCTCCCAAGCCCCCTCACCCGCCGACCTGTGTCCCATTGGACTGTTTATGTGGACGTGTGTGCCACCTGGCTTCCTGGCCAAGAGACTCGCCTCTTACTTGGGAAGCAAATGGATCTTTCCAAACTGAGTGGTGGCTGATGAGCTGGCAGGGGACAGAGGTACTGGGAAGCAGGGCTCAGCAAAGCTTTCTGAGCCCTCTCACCCATTAACTCCCACCTGCAACTTTGTGGCAGCAAAGAGAGGACTCTGCCTTTCAGACAACCCCACAGCTGGGGAGACGGAAGACTTAGGGGCTGTGGGTCAGAGTCCTAGAGCACTGGCATGCCTTGTGCAGTGATCTGCAGAGTGACATTTGCAAATGTTTGTGTAGTAAAGACCTGGCGTGCCTTAATGAATCATGAGTTTCTTATGGGCTGACTGACTGAAGATAATCATGGGATACATCAATAGAGATACACTGTTCAAATCAAGGGAGGTGATAGTTTTACTTGAGACATTGTGAACATCATGGGTTATATGTGGGTATTCTGCCCAATTCTGGATGCCCCTTTCAAGGGGGTCACTGACAAAGAGGGAAACCAGCTTAGTCAATGTGATTTTACATGAAGAATAGTTGTTAGATCTGGGAATGTTAAACGTGTAGAATCTCTGGCAGGTGCTGGTTAAACAAGGATATTCATTTAGCAGGTATTTCTGCAGTATCACTTACATTTCAGCTAATCTTTGTAAGAACCCTTTGAAAAAGGTATCATTCCATTTTATTGATGAGGAAACTGAGGCCCAAAGAAGTTAAGTAACTTACCCAAGGTCATACAGTGGTAATGGCAAGGCTGGGATTTAAAGCCACATCTGCTGAATCTCAAACGCCACATACTTTTGTCTTTGCCAGCCGAAATCCTGGAGTTTCTGGTGACAGCGGCAGAGTGGCGGGAAAGGGGAAGATGTTTTGACTTTGGCTTCACATAGAAAATTAACAGATTCCCTCCTTCTTGTGCAGGTGGAATGCAACTCGAAATTGGACCCAACGAAGACCACTCTCCTCAAGGTACAGGAAAAACACTCGGGGGCTGCTTCTGTGGTCTCATAGAAACTCTCACGTTTTCTGCACCATTGAGTTGGGCTTGAAAGCCTCACGATCAGAAACCGTAGAATTGATGATTTCCAAACATCTGTTGGGAGCCGAGTGGTGGTCTGAGGCTGCGAAGTGGGGCATCCTCCCTCTCCGGGACTGCAGGATCCCTCAGCGGGCTGCTGGTCTGAGGGCTTTGGGGACAGAGAGGCCAGGGATGGCTAGGCAGGGGCCCTCCATAGGTTGGGGCCAGGACATTCCTCCAAAAGGAACATCTGCTTGTCACAAGAGGAGACGTCTCCCAAGGCTGGGGAAGGACAGGACTTTCTCCAGCAGGTAGTTGAGCCTCTGTAGCAACCTCCGCTGGTCCCTTGCCCGTTAGGACTGATTGCACAATGCAAGCCACTGGCTGTTTGTGGCAGCCTTGTCCGGAGATGCAGCACAAGAGTAGGAGCCTTTCAGAGGGGTCTCCCGGCCTGGGTGGAGCCCTGCAGTGACAGGTGGCCAGGAGGGACCTAGGTAGAGATGAGGTGGCTCCCTTGCACTGGGGGAAGGACAAGGAGATGAAATCTGAAGGTCACCGTGCCCTCAACTTCCCCCATAGAAGTAGAATGCCTTTGAAAGGCATGCGTTGGGTGTCTGATACTTGTTGGGTGGGATGCTGTTTTCCTATATTGGGCTCTTTACACAGATTTTCTTTCAAGATTCCCTCAAAAGGAAATGGCAAGATTAGAAGCTGCTGGGCGTCAAGCTTGCATAATGCCATACTTTGAGGACTGTTTTCATAAGTATCACAAAGTGGGTGGCTTCAAGCAACAGATACTTATTCTCTTTTAGTTCTGAAAGCCGGAAGTCCGAAATCAAGGTGTGGGCAGGGCTGTGCCGGCTCTGAAGGCGCTAGGGGAGAGTCCTGCCTGCCTCCTCCAGCTTCTGGTGGCTGCGGGCCGCACGTGGTGCACCTTACTGGGAGGTGCATCGTTCCCGTCCCTGCCTCCATCCTCACTCAGCACTCTCCCCATGTATCCCTGCGTCCATGTCCAGACTTCCTGCTTTTAATAACGTCAGCCATTGTATTTAGAATCCACTCTAATCCAGTCTGACCTTATCTTAACTTGATTGTACCTACAAATACCCTATTTCCAAGTACGGTCCCATTGATAGGCACTGGGATTAGGACTCCAGTATGCCTATTTAGGGGGCATAATTCAACCACAGCCCACAGCAAAGGGCAGGTGGCCTGACTGAGGTCAGGTGGCCGATTTGATGGTAGATCCGGGAACAGAACTCACTTTGGCCTGATTCTAGAGACTCTCCCACAGCGCCAGCCCAGTAGTTGATGCTGTGGTGTGCGGAGTTTGGGGGATTCGCCAAGTAGACTACCTGCCACAAAGCCCACAAGCTACAAGCTAAATGCGCTGAGTGCTGCGCCTGGAGGGAAGCTCGGGGGTCCTGCTCCCTGCCTGCCGGTTGAGCTGAGGGCTGCCCCAGGTCAGCGTCGCCTTGTGGCTAGTGTTGAAAGTCCAGACTTGAGGCACCCTGGGCTGTGGGATGGCCACAGCCTCACCACCCCCACGAACTCCTCCAGCCCTGTTTCGCCCCAGGCCACCCTCCCCCCAGCCTCACCCTGCTCCCTTGCCCTCAGCCCTGCTCATTTGCAGTCTGGATGGACATCCTCCGGTGCTACAATGGCCTCTTGAGGTTTGGTGATTTCACAGGAACTTTGAAAGTCCACCTCTTAGGAAGGGTACTGGTCAGGAGCTGAATCCGGCCCGAAGCTGCAAATTCAACTGCTTCCTTTTGAGGGAGACTTTCAGGGGAATGCAGGGGAAGGGCCTTGTGATCAAACCCCTTCGGGTCAGACAGATCCTGGCCAGAATCTTGCAAGTTCCTCAGGCTCTTTCTGGCCCCGTTTCTGCCTGTGAAATGGGACCACTGTACCTTCCATGGTTCTTAGGGAATTGAGTGAAATAATTTATAGGGCTTAGCATAGTGCCTGGCACGTAGTAAGCTACAAGTGATGGTGTGCCAACAAGACCCCAGCAGCCTTGCTTGGTGGGACTGGGGTGCTCCCACCCATGGTCCACCCAGTGCCTCCGTTGTAAGGCAGGACAAGGCAAGGCAGGGCAGCTGGCAGATGCGCACTGTTTTCGGAAGGAACTCAGTGTGCAGATGGCCCTGGCTGTGGTGTTGGCCACTAACCAACTTCCCTCTCTCCTAGATGGCGGACTGTGGTGGCCTCCCTCAGATCTCCCAGGTGAGTGCCGCCTTGGCTTTCGCATTCCACACCTGTTGCCTCTCCGTGGGTGGAGGGCATGTGCCTCTGTGACACCTGTTTCTTCACTGCCTTGTTATGACACCGGACACGGTTTGTGGAGTGTTGAGTAAAGGTGCTGTACAGGAGGACTCTGATCCCCGAGGACCCGGCCCCTGTGGAGTCGGTGATACTGCGATTCACAGAGATTAGGGGATTTGCCAAGTAGATATACTTTAGTCCTCATGGGTCAGAATCTAGTGTAACTGCCCCAAAGACCACAAGCTTCTGCTGGAGCGAAGGGCCCCAGGGAGCTCCAGCCCAGAGCAGAGGGACATGGAGGAGATTAAACCGATTGTGGGTGTGTGTGTGCGCATGTTAAGTGTGTGTGTACATGTACGGATAAACACATTGATCCACGTAATGTGTTTGCTGCATAGCCGACTCCTTCAGTTTCCCCTCCTATAAATAATCTCACCAACCTAACAAGTAAACTTTTAATCTGTTGTCTTACAATTATATATCCTGATAGTTTTGTGTCCTACCTTAAAATGGAATGAGTTTTTGTCATCCTTTTTCTCCAAAACCCGCCCTGCCTCCTTTCTTCCTCCTCTTTTCCTTTCTCTGCTTAAAATGAGAACAGATGTAACCCTGGCCATAATTAAAAGAATTTTCAGAGCTTCAGAGGAGCTCAACTAGTGCAGGCTTGTGGGACACGCGCCCAGGGAGGAGCAATTCCTCTGTAACACTGTCGTCGTGTGCCCTTGCAAGTTAGGTGTGTGTTTTCAAAGGGTTTTCCCATCCTTGATTAAATTAGGTCCTTGCAATGGTCCTCAGCGGTAGGAAGAGCAAGCATTTTATTCCAGTGTCACAGAAGAGGAGACTGAGGCTAAAGGTTGAGAGAGATGGCCCATGATTGCTGCAGCCGAAATTGGGCCCAGATATTCTCTCTCTCAAGCCTGGATTCTTGGCTGTCTCCACCGTCTTGAACACAGGCGTCCCTGTTCTCTGCAGCCCTGACCTGCATCTCTTATCTCTTTCTTCCACTGTTACACAAATTCCAGAGGGCAATTTGAGCATAGCCTCTCTTTTAACTGTCATGTGGCTCTATCAGAGTGCTGGCAGGAGTTAGCGGAGAGCAGAGAGAGAGGGAGTCAGCCCAGCCTCTGCCAGTGCGCTCTCGCTGTCTCAGGAGAACAGGACCCCGGGCAGTGGATACAACAGTTGGAAGTAACTGAAGAACAGATATGCTTTGCATGTATCCCCTCGATAATTGAGCATTCACCTCCTAATTTAGCTTAAATTAACTGAGAGAACTGGTAAAACTGGATGTGGTCTCAGCATTCCCTATGCATTTCACTTAAAGTAGCCCGGTTAGTTGTTAATAACTTGGTTTCTCTATCCATCCAACGAACCATCCAACCATCATTCATCCATTCATTCTTCATGTCGTTTCTTTCTTTTGCCTTTCTTACATTCATATTTCTCTTCTTTCTCCTTCCTTCTGCCCATCAAGTCTTTTTTTATCCATCTATCCATCCTTCCCTCCATCCATCCATCCATCCATCCATCTTTTTCTTTCTACCCATCCCTCTGTCCATCATCCCTTCTTCCTTCCAGGCAATCTGCTATTGAGGCTGATAGTGACTTGCCTCAAGAAACAAGTGTTTTGGGTTTGGAGAGACTAGGACCCACCACTTACTTGTTGCGGGACCTCGAATGAATTTACCTCTCCAAATCTCTTCCGATATGAAATGTATCTAAGGTAGCACTGACCTCATAAGGGGTTGTCAGGAGTAAGTGAATGCACACAGCAAAGCCCCTTGCACGGGGAGTGGCTCTCCCTGGTCCAGATGCTAGGTTGGACACGTCCCGTTGTGCAGTCTCCCCAGA